AATAATAGGTCATACTTAATAAACTTAGGGATTTATTGAATGCTAATTGCTAATCTCCCTTCAAAAGTCCTGAATTGTGCATGTATTTATATATGCCCCTGTTATTTACATGTTTACATTGATTGATGATTCTACACTATTTTAGAAGTTCAATTTTTTCTACTCCTTAATTTCCACCCGTTCCTCCCAAACAACACTAATTACGTAACGTAATACATATTGCATTACTGCACCCTCTATTTGTTCACGACATTCTCTCGCATTTATTTTATGCGCATCATGCATAAGACTAAACCTAACCTTCTTATTCGTACTATTAGCAATTCTCTTTGGTGAATGGGGAAATCTCTGATGATGGCGATACATTAACGTGGTTATGTGAGGAGCTGGACGCTCTAACTCCTTTGATCTTTCTTCCAGGCGATATGTCAACATCAAGCTTCAACGAAAGATCATAATCGTGATGCATCTGTGGCAGGATTGATTGGATAGTGATGGGTACAGGTTTGATAACTAGCTCATCTGTGATGCAACCTTTTTTCTCTTCTGCCCTTTTACTATCGTCGATATTCTTTGTTGCCCTCTGATCTGTGTCTTCATCATGCGGCTTCGGCAGTAAATATGTGTTGTTCGCGTTGTCTGGTTGGAATTCCTTTATACTCGTCGTCGTTGTCGGTTCTTCTATTGATGTGATGATGTCTTCCGATATTGATGCATTTAAAGCGGCATGCCGGGACAACATAAAGAGGTTGGACTTATCGAGCAGTGCATCTGTAATATAACCTTTCCTTTTATCTGCCTTCATCTTCTCCAACACTCCTTTTTCCCTCTTCTCTTGTTCTTTTCTTACTCTCGAACTTTCGTCAAGTGGTTTCGGCAGCTTCTTTCTTGGCGGTACGTATGTGATCGCGTCATTTAGCTGAACTTTTCCTTCGCCCATCTCCATCATCATGATGGTATCTTGTTCCTTTACCATTGCTTCCTTCATTGTTATCCCTCTTGATGGCTTCTCGTTTCTTTCTCGTAGGTAAGTATATGTCATCCGGTTGCGATTTGTACACCATGTTTATATCATTTAACTTAGGTGTGTTGAATCCGAGTGGATTGCACCTTCTTTTTCTTTCTTGCACACATTGATTTATTTCAACTAAAGTTGATAACCTTTTTACTTAACACGGGTACGCATTAGGGCTCTGAATATATAGTCGGTGTTTGCTGGATTTCGTTAGGTGCCGAATTCGGCTTGTTCCTTGTTTGTGATCCTCTCTCGTTTGTCAACCAAGGTTCCCATATTCCTCACTGCATATCTCTTTTGATTCCTTCTTCATTTTCTTTGGTCCTTCGTCAAGTGACTTTAGCAATTCCTTCTTCGAAGGAGGTATGCAATGAGGTTTTCGTCATCCAATCGCGATTCTTGAGTTTCAACTTTACTCTCTTAGTATATTTTTCTTCATTGTTACTTCTGATCTATCTGCGATACTCTCACAAGTTTGTTGCATTTCTCGAATTCGTCAGGTTGGTTCTTGGATCTCGTCACCTAACCTTTTTGTTTTCCTTGTTTTTCTCAATAAGGCTCACTTTCTTCATTTCTTTGTCCAGCATGGCATCACTCCTAATGGTGAGTATTGATGCGATCCTTTTTCTCAACCCCTTCATGAACAATTTAACTCTGATCTTCTCAGATGTGTTGTCATTGCGTCATTGCTCGAGTGTCACAAAGACTCGGCACAAAGCTTATCTTATGCTTAATCCTAATATTCCAATAGCAGAAACGATCTTGGCAGACTTCGTACCAGTCTGCCGCACGTTTCTCCAGGTAATAAGATATCTGTTCTAATTTTTCGTCGCTCGTCCAGCTGCAGGTTTTTGCAACTCTCTTGTATGACTCTAACCACGAATACAGGCCTTCCCCTTTCTTTCCCTTGAATCTATGGGTCTTAATTCTTGCATTCTGGTTCACGAGGTTAACGAGAGCTTCCGTTAATTCCTGCAGCATGTCTTGTGGACGAAGATAAATTTATGGTAACTATTGGAGTTAGTGTTTGCATGTTTGTCACGTATTTTCTGGAAAAGGTAAGTGTCAAGATTTAAGGTTTTTTTTCACCGTTTTAATTAATGCATCTGTTTTCACCATGGATCTTGCTTATGGAAACAGAATACTTTAAAAATTAGCTGCGATCATAGGAAAAAGAAGTCT